TTTTTGTCAAATCTTAAATCATAGGTAACTTGAATCCTTCCATGAACATAGCAAGGATGAATTACCAACAACTCCAGGTGGTCACCTGAAGCCCAAGTGCTGTGTATAATCAGAGCATTTGCAGATGACACAAAAGGTAATGCTCTGGTAAATAGTGAGGAGGAAAGCCTTAGACCACAGGGCAATATGGATGGGCTGAACATTGTGAATGGAATTTAATACTGAAAACTGTGAGATGATGCATTTTGGGAGGAACAACAAGGCAAGGGAATACAGGTTGAATGTAGAATCGTAGGAAGTACAGAGGATCAGAAGGACCTTGGTATGCATGTCCCTAGATCCTTGAAGGCAGCAGGTAGATAGATAAGGTGGTGTAGGGGGAAAGTGGGATACTTGCCTTTATTAGTCAAGGCATTGTACATAAAAGCAAGGAGGTTATGTCAATTCAGAGATAGTAGGAACTGCTGATGCTGGAGAATCTGAGAGAACAAGGTGTAGAGCTGGATGAACACAGCAGGCCAAGCAGCATCATAGGAGCAGGAAGGCTGCCGTTTCAGGTCTGGACCCTTCTTCAGAAATGGGTCTGAAATGGTTCATCCAGCTCTACACCTTGTTATCTGAGGTTATGTCAAAACTGTTTATAATGTTAGTTGGGCCATGGCTGGAGTACTATGTGCAGTTATGATGACCATTCTATAGGATGATTGCACAAGAGAGACATAAAAGAAATTCAGCAAGATGTTGTCTCGGCTGGAGTGAAAAGGCTGAGGTGAGATCTGATTGAGACATACAAAGTTCTGAGAGGCAAAGACAGTGTAGATAGCGATAAACTTTTCCTCTCATTAGAGGGGTAAATAATTAGGGCCGCAGATTTAAGGTAGGAAACAGAAGGTTTAGAGCGGTTTTGAGGAAAAGTTTTTTTCATCGAGAGGATTGTGGGTATCTGGAACTCTCTGCTTGAAAGAGTAGTAGAGGCTGAAACCCTCAGAATATTTAAGAAGTTTTTAGATGAACCCCACTTGAAACGCCATAGCAGACAAGACCAAGTGCTGTAAAATGGGATTAGAATATACGGATGTTTAATGACCGGCTGTACACAATGGGCTGAAGGACCACTTTCCAAGCTGTAAAGATTCTATGACACATATGTTGAACTAGGATTAGAAAGGCAACTTACTATCGAAATGGAGAGAAAATTCGGAGTGCTTTGGTGCAGAGGTATCTGTTGCAGAAAACAATATGCAGGTACAGCAGGTAATAAGGAAGGCAAATAGAATTTTGCTATGTATTGCTAAAGGCAAAGAGTATAATAATAGAGAAGTGTTGTTGCATTACAAGACATTAGTCAGACTGCACCTGGAGTATTGTGTGCAATTTGGTCCTCTTTCTTGAGGAGAGATGTGGTTGTATAGGAGGCAGTTCAAAGGAGGTTCATTGGATTGATTCCACAGATGAGGGTCTTAGGAAGAGAGATTGAGCAGTTTAGGCCTAAATTATCCAGAGTTTTTAAAAAATGACAGGAGATCTAATTCAGATATATAAGATACTAAAGGGGATTTACAAAATAGACACAGAAAGGATGTTTCCTCATGGCACAATTTAGAATGAGAGGTCATAATTTTAGAATAATGAGTAACAGATTTAACACAGAAATGAGGAGAAATTACTTTTCTCAAAGGGTCATGAATCTGTGGAATTCACTATCCCAGAGTTAAATTGATGCTATAACATTTAGTAAATTTAAAGAGGATGTAAACAGATTTTTATTTAGTAATGGGTTGAAGTGTTCTGGAGAGCAGGCCGGAAAGTGAAGTTGAGGCTGAAATAGGATCAACCATGATTATATCAAATCCTTGCCTACTCCTGCTTCTGGTTCTTATGTTCTTATGTACTGGCAACGTCAACCTCATCAATGTGACGTGAATTGCACCGCACTGCTTAAATACGTAGCAATCTTGTAGTTGGTTGGCTTACTGAACTGATTTGTTGTTTCGCAGACGTCTCGTTACCCTGCTGGGTAACATCATCAGTGCAGCCTCCAATGACGTGCCGTTGTGTTTTCCCCCCTGTTATTTGAACTTTGGAGTTCGTTAAGCTGGATTACGAAACGTCTGCGAAACAACGAACCAGCTCGGTGAGCCAATCAACTAAATCCACAATCCAAGCTGCAAATCTACTTGAAAACGTAGCAATCTTGTTGAAATTCCATGTTAAGTATTAGAGTTGCCCACTGCTTCATACATTTTATCTTGCTTCGGATTACTAAATCATGTTTAAGCCTTTTCCAAGTGGACATTAAAGCAAGTATTGACTGCAGTTTATAGTGTAAAAGTGAACTGTGGTTGTTCGGTATACAATGCATATTTGCATGATTTGAACTGTTAATTTGGGAAATAGGTCTTTTTTTGAATTCCAGATGGTTGGTTTCATTGTGTTGTATTATCAGTGAATCCCCACTTTTCCCATGACAACTTATTGTCCTTTTTCAGATGGGCTCGACTTTGTGCATCTATCTCTACATGTATAATGAGAAGGCCTGAAGAGGTTAGCTGACTTAAGTAATAAATTGCATGAAAATATTGTTGCAATATGTATTAATTTTGGAGTCTTGCCAGATGTACAGATGCATCTGACCTACTAAAGTCTTTGCTGCTGTTCTGTTTTGCTTTGCTTCTGATACTCCCTTCCCTGAACTTCTGTAATTTTTCACACTGACTTTGTAATGTTGCTGCTGGCCAGTGTCCTCCCTTTCACAGTACTGCCCTCTTCTGATGTGTTTTAATGCTGCTTTAGTCTCTGCACTTTTTAAAAATACTTTTTCAAAGCTTGTTTACTCAATGCTAACTCAGTTTGTGACAACTTATTTTTCATTGATACACAGTTCTTTCTTTGACTTGCTAATTCTCACTTTGTACACTTCTTTATTTGACACTCTCAATTTTACTTGGAGGAACATATTTTATTTAGCATTGCAGTCTAGCTGTGAACTGATCTTGGCATTCAGAGTCACAGAGATGTATGGCGTGAAAAGAGACCCTGCGGTTCAAATCGTCCATGCTGACCAGATATCCCAAATTAATCTAGTCCCATTTATTGTACCAGCCTCTGTCACTTCTTATGGCAGCTCATTCCATTACACACACCACCCTTTGTGTGAAAAAGTTGCACTTCAGGTCCCTTTTATGTCTTTTGCATCTCATCATAAATCTGTGCCCTCTAGTTTTGGACTCCCTAACCTGGGAAAAGACCTTGGCTATGCACCCTATCCATGGCCTCATGATTTTATAAATGTCCTCAAGGTCACCCCTCAGCCTCCGACAGTCCAGGGAAAATAGCCCCAGCCTATTTAGCTCCTCCCTATAATTCAAACCCTCCAATCCCGGCAGCATACTTGTAAGTCCTTTCTGCACCCATGCGAGTTTAGCAACATATTCCCTATAGCATGGGGACCAGAATTGAATGCAATTTTCCAAAAGTGGCTTAACCAATGTCCTGTAAATTTCTTTCTAAATGTTACTTTTTGTGCTGTGTCTTTTGTTTTCCTGCATTGCTGTCATTGGGCATTATTATTATTCACATCAGTTATGCATTGTCCAAGCAGCCAAATGCTTTTAGCCTATATTTGTTTAGACAGACAAGTAGAACGATAGGAAAATAGTATAGATAGTGTCTTAGAGTCATACAGCACAGGAACAGACTCTTCAGTCCAACTTGTCTGCATCAACCAGATATTCCAATCTGACCTAATCCCTTTGCCATCATTTGGCCCATATCCCTCTAAGCCCTTCCTATTCATATACCTATCCAGATGCCTTTTAAATATTGTAATTGTACCAGTCTCCACCACTTCCTCTGGCAGCTTGTTTCATACGCACCACCCGTAGTGTGAAAAAGTTACCCCTCAGGTCCTTTTTAAATCTTTCTCCTCTCACCTTAGACCTATGCCCTCTAGTTTTGGACTCCCCATCTAGAAAAAAGACCTTGTCTATTCATCCTATCGATGCCGTTCATGATTTTATAAGCCTTTCTAAGGTCACTCCACAATCTCTGACACTCCAGGGATTTGGTATGCTTACCTTTATTGGTCAGTGCATTGAGTATTGGAATTGGGAGGTCATGTTGCGGCTGTACAGGACATTGGTTCGGCCACTTTTGGAGTATTGCATGCAATTCTGATCTCCTCCTGTAGGAAGGATGTTGTGAAACTAGAAAGGGTTCAGAAAATATGTACGAGGATGTAGCTAGGGTCAGAGTATTTGAGCTATAGGGAGAAGTTGAATAGGCTGGGGCTATTTTTCCTGGAATGTCAGAGGCTGAGGGGTGACAATATAAAGGTTTATAAAATCATGAGGTGCATAGATAGGGTAAATAGGCAAGGTCTTTTCCTGGGATTGGGGGACTCCAAAACTAGAGGGCAGAGGTATAAGGTCACGTGGGAAAGATATAAAAGGTCCTAAGGGGCAACCTTTTCATGCAGAGGCTGGTGTGTGTATGGAATGAGCTGCCAGAGGAACTGGTGGAGGCTGATACGATTACAACATTTAATAGACATCTGAATGGGTATATAAATAGGAAGAGTTTAGAGGATGTGAGCTGGATGCTGGCAAATGACAGGACAGAGGCATTGATGTTTTGGAATACCTCAAGATTATGAATTGTAAGGTGGGGAGGTGATGTTTTAGTGGTATTATTGCTCAACTCTCAATCCAGTAATGTTCTGGGGACCTGGGTTTGAATCCCACCATAGCAGATGGTGTATTAGAATTCAATAAAAATCTAGAATGGAGAGTCTAACGATGACCACGAACCCATTTTCGATTGTTGGGAATAAAAAACCTCATCTGATTCACTAACGTCCTTTAGAGAAGGAAAGTGCCAGCATGTGACGCCAGACCCAGAGCGATGTGGTTGGCTCTCAACAGCCCTCTGAGCAATTAGGGCTGAGCAATGAATGTTAGCTTAGCCAGCGGTGCCCACATCCTGTAAATGAATATCAGAAAAAGAGCATGAGAGACCAGCCAGAAGTCTCTCTCTCTCTCTGTCTTCTTTCTATCTCCTCCCATTGCCCCCTCCCTCTCGTTATCTCCTCCCCACCCCCGTCTCCCTCCCTCTCTCTCTCTCCCCCAGCATCTGTTTGTCTCTATCTCCTCCCCCTCCTCCTGTTTCTGTGCTGAGTTCTCTTCCTGTCTCTTTGGTTGTCAGCGCCATGTTACAGTTCTGACCGCGGATCAGCAACAAGTCTCCGGGGGAGGGCCGGACAAGAGCCTGCGGGAAGAGGTGATTGAGACTGGGCACCGGGGCTGGGCCGGAGGAGGTGGCCGGAGGGGAGCCTGTGCAGGGAAACCCCGGGGCCGGAGGGGAGCCCGCGGCTGGCCCGGGGTCGGAAGCTGCCTGCCCGGACACTCCAGGCCTCAGTCCCCCCCGGACGGGACGGAGCAGACCGGACCGTCACCGTCCAGCAGGTGAGTGTCCGGCTCGGTGTCGGGGACAGTGACCGGCCTCGGGCCCGACTAAACCACTCTGTATGGCGGATTCCGGCCTTGGATTATTATCAGGGTCTGGGAATTAAAGGGCAACGACTGGGGCTTGGTTTGTGTATGAACAAGAAGTGGTTGCTGATTGGGATGTACAAGAATAAGTTCAGGCTTGTCATTTCAACCTGTTTTCAGTTTTGACATTCACAAACTGGCAGCTTGGTCACTCAAGTTTACTGCAGGATCGGCGAGGCTGGTCATTTTCCCAGGCTGGCCAGTGTCACACTATCTTAACAAGATTGGTCAATTTCCTTACAGTATTATACCTTACCAGATTAGTGAGCACTTAGTACCATTTAAACACTGATCGTACATGTTGAAATGCTACAGTCAGCATCATGAATATTTCAAAATTTAGTATATTTGTATTGATTTTTAGAAAATATGAGCATTCATGGGCAACATTGTCAGGAAAATGCAGACACTCAGGTTTCTTGGTCACGGATCTTGTTCCATCAGAACAGGACAATTTAATTATGAGCCCTGGGTTCACGTCCCACGTGCTGCAGAAGTGTGTAATAACATCTCTGAACAGGTTGATTAAAAATATCTACATCTGTGGCTACAAGGGGTCCTGTGGCATTTGATAGTGTCCTCACTTCTGGGACAGAAGGTTCAAGTCCTGCCTGCCCTGGGGGTTTGTCACAACATGTCTGAACAGGATGATTAAAAATAACTACACCTGTGTCCTCAAAGATGGGATCAGACTTGGCTGTGATGCATCACCTCTCCTTTACGATACCCCTCCATCCATCCATCTGCAAGGTTGGCACGTAGTCTGTGGTCACTCATTTTCTGGCCTTACATATGATGGAATATCCCCTGGTGTTTTGCTGGAGGTTCCACCACATGTGGTGAAACTGTCAGTTTTGTCATATTAGAAAAGCAATGGAGAAAAGTTCTGACATTTGAAGTCAAGTACCTTGGCTTCAACTATATAGTTTAAAGTACCTTTTGTTACTAAATACCCATTTGTCACTGTTTATAGTGTAGGAATTTAGGATCCAAGATAGAGAATTCTTAAGAGTGGGAGTAACAGGTCATATATATTGTATTATTAAAATTAAATAAACCTGTGAACTGCAAAATTTCTCCCCCTGCTACTTTTTGTGGATTTACCCAAGTGAAAACATGAAAAAGTCTCAAACGCTAAAAAAGACATTGCTGAGCCTTTATTTCTATTTTGAAGTAGCTTACAGTAAGGTTGCCAGCAGCAGTTTTTCTGTGAACAATCGAGATATGGAATCAATACAAATAGTGTTTTGTGATGTAGACAATACCTGCCCAGTGGAGGAAGTCTTGTGACATCATGAATTGAAATTTTATTTTCAGTGGCTTAACATCCTGTTTCAAATCCTGAATCTGGCTGAATTTTTGATATCAGATATTTCTCTATAACCATGATAACCTGAAAGAATGATCACCATTGTTCAATAAATTATATAAAGTTCTCTGTGACGGTGTAGAATTGACTCAATCCACTCAACCGTCGTGGCAGTAGGTTAGTTGGAACTGTCTATGGCTGTTGAATCGTTGTGGGAGGGGCAGGGTTGGAATGCTGGTAAGTTTTCAAGTGCTACTGATTTGGATATTTTGAGAGTGTTAAAATACCAATTAATTGACTCTCGAATGAGATTTGTAAAGTACTAATGAAATTAGGCCTTTAGGTGTCTGAAACTGTAAGTCTAAAGTTGAACTTGTTTTCTAAATATCATCTAAAATCTGAAAATTAACCTTTTAAAGTGACTTCAAAGCTATTATTTTTCAAAAATAATAACATAGCACAAATTGCAATATAAAATTCATGTGGATAGAGTAATGATGGTATTGGCAGAACACAAGATCACTTTGGCTAGATGGCTGGTTTGCGATGCGCTGTAATGCCAATAGCATTGGTTCAACGCCCGCACCGGCTGAGCTTACTGTGAGCAATTCTGCTTCTTGACCTCTCCTCTCACCTGAGGCATGCTGACCCTCTGGTTAAATCACCACCAGTCATCTGTCCCTACTGAGATGATAATCCTATTGCCTGGTAGGACTACGGCAACTTTATGTTTGCTTGATTTAGATATTGGCAGGAACAATGGAATGTGTACACTGAACAATGTAAACTGCTAAATCTTCCACAATTTTCCATTGGTCAAGTAAAGTCAACCAAGACTACTTCACTGTGTATACCATTCGATTCTTCGTTACATTACTGAACACTTTGCCGGTGTCTTGAAATTGTACGAAAAAAATTCAATATTTAAGTTGAGATAATCTGCTTAAATTCTTGTTTGAGGTTCTCGAAGATATGGTTTGGTTTTAATTCATGAATGTTGATCTTTGCAGATCCAATTTTACTGTCCTCATAATAGGCTCATGGCACTCAGTTATTTATGCATAAAATTCACTTTTGTTTCATTCATATCTCTTTTCTGGCTCTCGATTCAATCCTGCTTTCACCTGAATTCCCTATACCGGATTTTGCATTGAATCCTATTTTTACTTATTTCCTTTCCAGCTCTTGTGCTAAGTTCTCAATTGTTCAATTTGATTGATTAATGAGCTACCCATCTGCTGGCTCTGTTCACCTGCACAAGGTGGTCTGCTTGCTTCACTATGCTGTTATCACCTTACTTATTCAATAACTTAACATGAAAAATAAAAAAGTGTAAAGTTAAACTAATATCAGATGTCATTGGGTGCTCGGGTACTAGAAAATTTGTTCCATTCATATATATTACCATGTATATAACCAAAGGGTTTGCATAATTGGTCTTACAAGGATTATTTTTGGAATGATATGCTGTGATATTCATGAGAGTTTGTATACTACACCTATCCATGTCTTTCACTGTTCCATTGTCTGTTACAACTTTTCAAAAAAGTTAATGTTCCGGGTTAGTATGTTTGGTGTCACAAATATGTTTGCCTTGATTATATATGGCAATATATTTTGCAGTAAATGTCCATCTGTCATGCAACAGATATTGTGTGTCAGATTCCATACTTTATTACAAGCAATGCACCTTTAAGAGGAACAAAGTAAGCTGTTGACCTGAAAATTTCTTCATGTTCATCAGGTTGACTTCACTGCTTTCTAAGTAGATTTAATATTTTTCAATTTGCATATAAAGAGCAATGCCTATAAAAGCCAAGGTCACGTTAACAGCTAAACATGAAACATTGGAGTGTGAAATATGACTCGGGTTACCTATGAATATCGCCACTGGAGATCTGTTATTAAAAATGTATGCTTTGAGAAACTTGTAACACAGCTCAGGAGCCATGCATGCCAATTTCTGTCATACATTTTAGAAATTATAAAAGAAGAAAGTAATCAGTTCCTGATGATTTCGAGGAAATGTTACCTGCAAAAGAGAATACTGCAATTGACTTCGAGATGTGCTATACTGTATTATCCTCTAATTGATGGATGTGCTTATTTATGATAGTAAGGCCTTGTTGCCCAAGGGGGCAACTGGTATTATGCACATCTATCCTGTAACAGTATAACAACACACTTTGTATTGTGTAATGCTTCTGCCCCATCACAAAGAATGTTAACAAAAAGCTGTCTAGTCACTTTCTTCCCCACCCATACCATATTTTCCAGGACTACTTTCATGTACATATATCAGTTGATAAAGACCTCTGACACATGATTTCTCATGAAAAATTGATTTATGATGTGAGGAAGGAGAGAATAATCAAAATTGGAAGGTGAAGAGAGCCTACAGCCCAATGTAAGTAGTCTAAAATTTATGGCAGCAGTAAAACCTTTGTCAGTAATTTGCAGTTTTATTGCAAAGTAATTATTCCACTTCTGGTCTAATAGCACAGAGTGAAATAATATTGTTATAACATTAATCATAAGTGGCAGTCTGTTGGCGTTTCACATTTGAAGTTGTTAACAAATATTCTCATGTTGCTGCACCCAGTTGTAGCAGTTTTGTATTTTCTGCAGTAATGAGGAAAGTCATACCATAGATGATTCTTGATTTTTGTATAACTACTGTTAAGAACTGTATAATTTTGAAGTAGGGTGATGCTTTTAAATTATCTCTCTTGTATTTGATGTAACCACATAGGAATTTGCAGCAAATTCCTGTGACAATGAATACAGAAATTAGTTAAGAGCTTACCGTAACGTACAGCTGCGAATGATATGTATTGATGCTTTACTTGTATGGTGTGAATATGAAAAATATGCTCACATATGTTTGGACAGGTGCATGTCATCTTTAAACAATAATGTTAGACTAGTGAATGGTTTGCTAGATCATAGTGTCATCTGTGAATAGAAGGTAATGTAATAGACTCTAAACAAACTGATCTGATAGAAAAGTTGCTCCACAGTAATGTTGCAAAAGTCCAAGTTTCAATCCCACCAGATACAATAGTTGCTGACCAGTTACATGCCTAACTGCGGCAATGAAATACTGGTATGGAATGTTGCACCCTGTGGCAAGTATGGCTCCTGTTTTCTAAGCATGCAGTCACATTGATGTGTACACAGTGGTTGCGATCTGTAGCAAGTGGTGCATTAACAGTAGTGTATTTAGTGAGACGTTGCAGAAAAAACAGATTTTTTTTGTTTTCTGAAAATAAGTGTTTATAAAACTATATTTTATTGAACATCTTAGGTTTCAAATACATGATGCAGTCGAATGTTTTAGCTCAAGAAATGAGAGCTTCACTAATTTGAAAGTGTTGATGACAGGGAGAAGCAAAAAGCAGTAGGCTACACACTTGTTCTGTTCTATATCTATTGTGTATGGTTTGCCATGATTGTGTACAGTATTTTAGGCCATAGGAGTTCCAAACAGGTGCCCTGCAAACAGATCCTATCATTGCTCAATCAGATTTTTGTGTTTCTTTACTTATTTAATGCTGTTTTCTGTTGAGTTTTGTGTATATTTGTAATAAATTTTTTTGGTAAT